TTTATATATAAATGAAAACATAACAGAAGAGGAACATGACAAAGAAAAAAAAAAAATCAGCCTCCATCGGTACTCAAACCCAGGATCTTCCGCATACATGGCAAACGTCATAACCACTTTTAACGACGAAGGCAATGTGGTGATTCAAGCGTTCGGTAGAACATGAGTACCTTTCATTCTTTTAACGTGTCTGATGTGACTATTTTGATAATGCACTAATATCACGCGGTCAAACTAGTCAGAGGTCTATAATATACGCCCTTTTCCGTGCATTATTTTCAGATTGCTCGAATTAGATTCTTGTATATATAAATTGATTGATTGATTTTTCTTTGCTTTTTTTCAGGTTCACAGATCTTACATACCGAAATATGTTTTGATGTTCGACTTTTTTCCTTTTGGAATAACAGGAAAGGTAATATATTCTGCCAACCCTATGCTCATGGTTTTCACAGGGAAGATTTCATTTGTAAAAAAGAAAAAATATGTTAACGTAAACATGTTTCAGTGTTAATATTGCATGCAATTTGAGGTAGGGCGATTGTCAATATTTATGTTTAAATTTCTATTTTATTTCTTTTTGTTTGAGGATATAATAATAATTGTGTCGATAAATTATAAATATGCTATCCCCTTTCGCGTGCCTCCTACAACCCAGCTCTTGGTTATTATGTGTCCAATGCCTGATACCATTAAATTTGTCTATTTAGCGCCCTCTATCCTTTATTTACTCGATATAGCACTCTCTATGCACTAAATTGAGCACCCTTAATGATATGAAATACAGATCTCAGTCGGCATAGGTTCTTTAAAATAAATGTATATGGCCTGCGTATTCATATTGTGATGAAGAATTCGCTTCATTATTATTGTTGAGTATAATTTATGTTTAACTCTAAAAAATTGCAACGAGGTTTTCAAAGGATTTTGGTGGTCTATGTGCTAAATAAAAGTGGAAAAAAGTCTTACAAAATCTGACCACCTGATGCTCATTTGTGTGTCTGTGTTTGTGTGAGTACATGCGTTTTTCGTATGCTTGTATTCCGACCTGCCCAAAATAAGATATCTTTTCCTAAACATGGGGCATGTGTGCCTTCTTCCATTTTATTTTTTTTTCTTTTTCTTTTGTTAGATCTAATAATAAAAGAAATCATAACAATTTTAGATGGTGTATTTTACATATCCAACTTCATCCGTACCAATTATTATAGATTTCACAGTCTCTCTTGACAATCGTATTATTCCACCTGCACATGTAAATATTTAAAGACTTCGTTGACTACATAGTCATTATAATTTATTACGATTTTAATTTCTTTGTATTATAACCTTCTTTGTATTATACATTAATGAAATAACTTTAATGTTATATCTGAACAGGTGGACCAGAAGAAATTGCAAAAGATGGCCATTGCTCGAGTCACCATCCCCGATGCACCTTATACCCTTTGACAAACCCTTAAACCTTTTACGCATTGATGAGGTTCTTTTGACAGCAGCTATAATTACCAAGTTAATGTAATATGATTGTTTTTACAAAAGTTTATTCAATATACTAATTAAACTTAAAGTTGTGAAACATTGTATAGCTAATTGAAACTTACTCCGTATATACTGCCGTGATTTGGAAAAAGGCATTAACTCCAAAATCCTGGTTTTGAGTTATTGAGCAAAACGCGTTTGTCGTTAGCATTTTGTACTGGAAATGAATTCTAGTAAATTTTTTTGGCAAATATACTAAACATATAATTAAAAAACATATTAAATAATTTTCATGGTGATTTTTGTTCTTTAACCTTTTTAAATGGGGATAATGCACTATTCCAAATTTTAACAGGAGTCAATGGTGCGTGAAAAATCTGAAGTTAGGCATTAACTCCAGTTTTTTCAGTGAAATGTGTATCTTACGTAGCCAAATTACAGTATTTCTGACAAACAAATAATGTATGCCAGTGTCAATTATATATTTCACGAAATTTAGCCCATGTGGTAGAAGATTTTTTAATATGCCATTTTTTTTTTAAACCGAAGTAAAGCTAGGCATTATGTGCATTTACAAGCTATCATGACTAATTAACTATGCGTAATTGTCTTCTGTGATTGGTTCATTATGATCTGTTCATTGTCTGGTGGAGATAATTCCTTCTTCCAAATTATTCTGCATTCATGGATTGGAGTTAATGCGTAAATATAATATTTATTTCATATTTCTGGACATTTTTGGGGGTATATGATCAATTCACATGATAGATTACATCTATAGGATGCCATAGAAACAAAAATCCAAAAATCTCAAAAAGTGGAGTTAATGCCTTTTTCCAAATTACGGCAGTATACTCACTTGTAAGGCCACCCACGTATAAGACGACTGCCGAGTTTGAGAACATTTTTGGACGATTTTTATATTTCGGAAGTAGGATGACCGCAGGCGCGGATGATCCAGGATTTTCCATGACCTTCGCACAGATAGGGTGGTCATTGCAGTGGTGGATACAGAATTGGTAATATGATTGTTTTTACTAAAAGTTTATTCAATATACTAATTAAACTTGAAGTTGTGTTATATACTAGAATTTGCCTTTTTTTTTTAAATAATGATTTTAATTCTTTATATTCCTAGGTATGTTAACATTGCAATTAATTATGTTTGAAGTATGACTGACCAATCTAATTTGAACTACCAGAATTGAAAGCAAAGCTTCTTATTGCATTTGATGAGAATTCTTATGAAATTGTATCTTTTTATGTAATGTTTAATAATGATTTATTGTAGTGAAATTAAATTAAATTTAATGCATTAAATTTTACTTAAGAATAATAATGTTCCGCTAGTGTACGATGCATGCTCTACTAATTGCTTTATAAGTCAATCGCCTTCTTTTAATGTTAGGTTTGATAACCAAATTTTCAGCATACTGTGTGCGTTTTTATATCTATCTGTACGTATGTTGATTTGTGCTCCTGCAGTATTCGTTAACTGCAGTACAGATACGATGAGTAACTATAATTTATATTGTGATAGAAGAACTTGTTTGTAATGTTATTTTGATACATTCGTCAAAGAAATAAACCGTTTTTAAAGCATTCGAGAGAGATTACAGTCATGAACTTTTTGGTCTGTGTATGCAGGTAAAAATAGTGCGATGATTTCATAACTACGCTATGTTATGGCCTAGCCTAGTAATTGGAGGAGGAGGTCTCGGCGGCCTCCTGCATGGCTAGTCCTACATCTAATTTCGTTCATCGGAGTCTTTAAAATAGTTATAGAATATTCCTATTAAACGTTCAGTTTGTTTAGTTTATTAGGGTTCATTTATTCATTGAATTACCTAATTGTTCATAATTAATATTGAATTTGAAGTAACTTTTTTTGGGTTATAATTAAAAATCACGAAATAGTTTTAAATTACAATTCAATTTTCATTGCGGTGCGCGATATCTTCGCAGTTAAGACAAAATTAAGTATATTTTTTTGCATACGAACTTAAAAAAAGTCAAGCCAAGCGTCAACTAATTGAAAAATTATGACGTCACGATTGACTTATAAAAACTTTTAGTTACACATTTGCTTTTATATGCTACTTACTAAAATACTTTTTTTACTAATATAATGTAGGTAGGCCTACTGTTGTTATTACTTGAATTTTTTATTTAACACCGAGGGCCGCACCTAAACTTTGATGTTTCCAGTGAGCTTCCAAAAACCTCCAAGCACTGCTTTTACATCACTTTATTTTCAGTTTCGATGTTACATTTTAGGTATGATTGGTGTCGGACCGTAAAAAAACAAGGTGTTTTCCATACAATTTTGATTGGCGGGCCGCAAACATAAGGTTTTTAATTCATTGTCGCGGGCCGCAAAAAAATCGCTGACGGGCCACACTTTGTCCACCTGTGGCCTAGAGTATTAGATGGTCGAGCAATTGCTGTAGTTTAAGTTAGCGATTATCTAATTCAACCTTAGATGCAAGTTTTAGAGGGTTATGGAATTTAAGGATAGCTGCTAAGGAGTATGTATTAGGTCGGACAAGCCCGATGAAGTCGACTAGTCTGTGAGTTCATTTATTTCAACAAAATAATGCACCATTATTTTATATGTTTAAATCGTAAGTGTTGAAATGTACACTTCAAGAATCAGTCATTATTTCATTATATTTCTTTGTTATTACAGTTTTTACCCGTTTGATTGGCATGATAATAAACATACGTACAATTTCAAACGTTGGTGACGTGTTTTATTGCTGAAATGGTTTAACACGCTGGGTAGAGGGCGACCCGTTTCCTCAATGCCAGCACACTTTGGTTTATGCAAAGTTTCTTTCAAGCCTAACAGCCAAGATTTTCTTTAAGCTAATACACTACGAAAAAAAAAAAATCTTTTGTTATAGGAAGTGTTAAACAATTATATGGAAATCACATTACATCTGAAAATGTTATAACTAATAGAAACTTACTCCGTATATACTCACGTATAAGGCCACCCACGTATAAGACGACTGACGAGTTTGAGAAGATTTTTGGACGATTTTATATTTCGGAAGGATTTTCCATGACCTTCGCACATATAGGGCGGTCCATGCAGTGGTGGACCCAGAGTTTGGAAATAGAGAGTAACCAGAGAGGGACCTTCACATATAGACACCTCAGCCGCCGCCCCCACCCCCACCCTCGCAAACAAGATTGGTGCTGAGGTAAAAAAAAAAAGAAGATTACGTAGCCTCCAAATTGCCGGAAATGGCACTCTCAGGATTTTTTTCTCCATTCTTATAAAATAATTTTGAAGTATATACGGGGCCCGGGCCAGGGTTCTCCTTGAATCCGCCACTGTGTGGGGGAATCCTCTACATTAGGCTGACCAGCACTCCTTTTTTAAACTAACGTTAGAATATCGCACTTTCGGCGGTAAAGAACAATTAAAACCTCATAAAAAAAGGCAACTAATCCGTTTACCTATAATTGAATCCAAGGACACCAATGTTTATCCTTGATAATGTGTTAATCCAATTAATATAGTGATATAACGTAACATTAGTTTATCGAGGGCGGGTTGCTCAGGTGACCTAGGATTTTAAAACAAATACCGGTACCGTATATAATCGCGTATAGGACAAGGCTTAAAATAGCAAATTACGATCGAAAAACAGGGGATCGTCTTATACGCACGACATTCAAATTTTAGATTTTTATAATCATGTTCGTCTTATGTGCTGATCGTCCGTAACACGCGAACGTACTATTGTAATGAAGCAACTTAATTTTGTATGAATGAAGGCAATTTTAAATACAGGGAAATACGATTTTGGTGGTGAAGATTTAAAAAACTCATAAAATGGTATTATTTGGAAGATTACCTTTGCATTTGGCCGGCTCCAATAATCCAGGTGGATGCAGTATCAAGACCACAAAAAATTAGGAATTCCGACCATGAAACAGGTGGTCGTTTGATACGCCCGACATACAAATATCAACCAAAAATCTTCTAAATCTCGGGGTCGTCTTATACGCGGGTCACCTTATATGCGAGTATATACGGTATTGCTTATTACGGAATTTCTTTAAAAACATATATGAACATATATGATTCTTAAGAGACAGGAGACAGGACTTAAAGGTTGTTATACAAGATTATTCAGACACACCTTTAATATCAACTAAAAACAACATATTACTGTATATCAAGAACTTTGAGGGCACGAAGGTTAGCATTTGCTTGATTACTACAGAAGTTAAAATAGGCTTCCAGCGGGAGCGTGTGTCTACTGCCTAATATACAGGAGTTTTTGTTTTTGAGTTTAAACTTTAATGTTCTTCAATATGCAGATGTGTGTATTTATTGTAGTGTATCTGAATTTGTCATGAACATTTTCTTTCATAACAACATTCAATATACATTATATTACACTAAAAACACTTTATTATTCAATTCCATTCTATTCTATTTAATGACGGCATTACGACTACTCCATTCCGAAAATAATCATATTAATTACTATGATCATGTAGTGCGTATAAGACTATAATTCATTCGAGACGAGTATGGGAATACCCAGTTGTTATGGTACATAAGCCCCCTTTGCTGGACGACGGGAGATGCTGGTACCGGGTTACTGAGTAGCACAAACACGATGGGACCCTTAGGGGCGAAGAAAATGCACAATAATAACTATTAATAATTTTATAATTGACTTAGCATATATAGCACTGCGACCCTTTTCGGAAACCGACTTACTATGTTTGGTCACATTTCTATGGTTCAGTGCATTTAATAGGCCTATATAAATAAAAATGAATAACATACTATGAGCTATTGGGGTACATGATGACATAACGACTACTCTATTCCGAAAATAATCATATCAATCATTATGATTATGCAGTGCGTATAAGGTTTTAATTTTAGTTAGACATTTTGCGTGTGCCAGCACTGGTTTTTAGCTTGTATTGTTTAATTGGATTCTAAACGTTATAGTAATGGAGTTGTCTCGAAACAAGAGTTACGTGCATACACCCGGTAACGAGCCCTTCATTGGTTTGACGATGTATGAGCTGCTTAAAGTAAGAGTAGAAAAACATCCAGATAGGGAAATGCATGTTTTTGTTGACGACAACGAAAGGATCACGTTTGCGGAGTATAGAAGAAAGGTAAAAGAACATTTCTTATTTGCTGGTCAAAGCCTGCAGCAGGTTAAGACTTTTTTTTCTCTTTTGTGGCAACAGACCACATTTATTCATCAATATCATTATAAAGCACAGTTTATACATTTACAATTGATGGTACTAAAAATATTGATTTTATACATTGATTTAGTTGTGGGTTAGCCTTTCATTATCCTCCTTTTTTCGTGGTTTTCACATTTTTTTTAATTCCCTCTCTTTTTCTCCTTAATATACAAGATTTATTTTAAATTTATATATTTATTACAAACTATATACAGTGAACACAGTCACAGTGTTACCGAACGCATGATACATTACAGCACACTCACTATTTTTACACTTTCAAAAAGAAGAAAAGTAAAATAAATGAAAGAAGAAAATCTAAAATGGCTTGCAAAAAATATATTATGCAAGACATTTTAGATACTTTCTAATATTATATTCAGTTATAAAAAGCCTTTGCATTGAGCTACGATTCCATTTGTTAACGTTTTTAATACGTTTGCTTTAAATATACAGAATACTCCTAATGAAAATATATGATCTACATAAACATTTCCCGTTCCAAGTACAATGTTTTTAAAGTCTGCTTTGATACCGTATTTTTTTAAAATAAAACTATTAATATATTTCCATAATTCCTTTGCTTCTACACACTCAAAAAAGAGATGTGCCTCATCTTTAACAACATTCTTACATCGTTGGCATTTATCAGAATTCACAATTTTCCATAGGTATAATCTTTTCTTGGTGGTAACAATGTTATGTAATAGCTTAAAATTGATATGTTTAAGTTTATTTTCTCTAATCCCCTTCACCTTCCATGTCCATGTCGACACCCAGTCGATTTCAGTATTAAAATAAGAATGCCATTTCATTTGACACTTTGTGGGTTCAATTCCCCTATTCATAATAAAATACCAATATATTTGTTTGGTACTTATATTACACCATTGTATTGGCAATATTACTTTAGACTTCTTTTCTATTTTTCCTAAGAGAATTTTCTCTTTCCAATCTTGCGGGATTGCTTTTAGCAAGAGAGATAGTTCCGCAATCCAATTAGATCTGACATCTAATATAGTAAATAATTCATCTGCATTCAATAACTATATCATTTATCGTTCGTATGCCCGCTCCAACCCAATTTCTGTATAAAAGTGAAACACCATTATATAATATCATTTTGTTACCCCAAATTTGTTGTTTCAATATTTTATTATAACCCAGTGGGTGCTCAACAATACATTGATTTAAATATGTTAATGTGTTTATCATTGAGAGATAAAACCTAGGAATTCCGTCGATGGATATCCCTTTATAGCATACATGTGACGTGTTTTCAAAAACGCCCTTTGGAGCAAATCTGTTCAAATATAAGCTTGGCAAAAACTTCCATTTTGATGTTTCGCCATCATACAAGCGTTTAAGCCAAGCCACATTCTTATTGACTTAAAATTTTTACAGAGAGAGAGAGTCAAATTTCGTTTCCGCCATGAATTAAGTATGTGTTTTAATGATTCATTTTTTTCTGACCAATTTTTAACAAAATATAATTCCTTATTGTGGCCAACATGTATTCCTAGCACTTTAAAACCATTATAAACCCACTTAATATCAAAAGGATTGTCCTTTCTCTTTTTCCAAGGCCCTAACCACATGGCATTAGTTTTCCTCTTCTTTAGATTTAATCCTGACATGTTCCCAAATTCAATAATTTTATCAATACATTTTTTTATATCTTTTTCATTTTTTTATAAATAAAACTGTATCATCAGCTAGCTGAGCAATTTTTACTTCAACAGTATCTCTTTGATTTGGTAGAATAATGCCTTTAATCAGTCTGTCTTCTCTTATTCGAATAGCCATAGTCTCAGCTACTAAAATAAAAAGAAGGGCAGATAAAGGACAACCTTGCCTTATACCTCTATACATTTTAAAGCTTTTTGAGCTCTATCCATTGTTCATAATTATACACTCAGTATTAGAATACAAAACTCTTACCCATTTGATAAAATGATGGGCCAAAATTTAAATGATGAAGAGCATTAAACAGGAAATCTCTGTTAACCGTGTCAAATGCTTTACTGAAATCTAAGCTTATCAGGGCGCCTGTAAGACTATTTACATCCATATATTCCATAATATCCTCAATCAAGCGGATATTTTCCCCACCAAAACGACCTTTAATATACCCGTTTTGATCATTACTTACTATATTTTTTATAACATTTTGTAGTCTTTTTGCTAAAACAAAAGCAGCGATTTTATAATCCACATCTTTCTGCGCCATGCTGTCTCTTATACACATCTAGATGTGTATAAGAGACAGGTCTATCTCCTCTTATCCGAATAGCCATAATTTCAGCTACTAAAATAAAAAGAAGGGCAGATAAAGGACAACCTTGCCTTATACCTCTATACATTTTAAAGCTTTTTGAGCTCTATCCATTGTTCATAATTATACACTCAGTATTAGAATACAAAACTCTTACCCATTTGATAAAATGATGGGCCAAAATTTAAATGATGAAGAGCATTAAACAGGAAATCTCTGTTAACCGTGTCAAATGCTTTACTGAAATCTAAGCTTATCAGGGCGCCTGTAAGACTATTTACATCCATATATTCCATAATATCCTCAATCAAGCGGATATTTTCCCCACCAAAACGACCTTTAATATACCCTTTTGGATCATTGCTTACTATATTTTTTATAACATTTTGTAGTCTTCTTGCTAAAACAAAAGCAGCGATTTTATAATCCACATTAAGAAGCGTTATAGACCTCCAATTATTTAGATCAGCAGGTTAAGACTTATCAAACTTGATCAGGCCTTACTTTATCATAATTATCATTAGTTGGATTTAATAGTGAGGTCATAATATATTTAAACTCTTCCGTGTAAATCAGCATCATTAATATTATTAGTATTAGAAATAATGGAGCATAGTAATTTAAGTAAGGCCTATAAGTGTCATGGCAAATAAAATAAAACATCACAACAAATATTTTGAAACACCAAGGAATTAAAATTAAAATTCACGGCAAATTTAAAATGAGACAATAATAGGGCAATTTGAAACACCACTGCAATTAAATCAAGTAAATTTGAAATTAAACATTTTACCGGCGCAAATGAGTTACTGCGGCGGAAGTCAGTTCCCATAGAAGTTACATTTGTAAAGAGCATTATTTTTTCCCACCGTAAATGCTACCGGTATTTATTAATAATGTAGTATTTTTATAACGCATATTGCACAGTGCCCATATGCGATATACACAAAAATTTTATGGGACCAACAACAACAACAACAACAACAACAATAATAATAATAATAATAATAATAATATTAAAATTATACTTATACACCTTACACCTTACTTATACTATACACCAACCCAACTCACTTCACGCCACCCCTCTTCAAAAACACACAGTAACTCGCACAAACATTTTTTATTTCAAATAGGGTACTATTTCCAGTTTAGTCAGAATTTTTGTGGACTTTTTTTTAAAGTTGGCATTTTAGGATTTTGTAATCCGAAATGATTTCATTAAAATTCGCTGTAGGCACACTTTCCACTACACACGTTACGTTTTAAAAACAGAATGCAAGCAACATATGTTTGTTTGTTTCAAAATTTCTCTACACACATGAACATAATATGAACATACATAACAAAAGCTTAATAGTAAAACCAAAAAAAAAAAAAAAAAAAAGAATAATAGTACATTACAGAATAAGTGTATGGTATTGTGCATTTCATATTCGACTACGGACACTGTAAAATACTTGAAAACCCACTTACATTCTAACCACCACCTACTTAGAGAAGAAAAATAAAATATTGTAATATTTGTATATTTGCTAAATCCTTGCATCTTCTGATTAAACACAGTAGAACAAAAAATACATGCCAAGTATTGTTGTTGAAATGGAAATATGCTAATATCCAAAATAATATAAAATATGGAGCATTTTTTGTTGTAGCTTCACATGTTTAACTAATAATGATGCATGGAAATTATTCAAAATCAGTTCCACTGAAAAATGAAGTTAGTACATGTAAAACGCTGTACGCATTTACTGTATTACATTAATTTGAATATTTATCATACAGCTACTGTATCTGCCTGGGTTATGTAAACATATTCTTTAAATGGTTCTCATATCGAAAACTTACATCGGATCGTAACCCCACCCCCCCCCCAAAAAAAGAAAATACTTTCTTCATTGAACCATGTCAAACTATTATGTTATAATATGTTAGATTTACATAGCGATTAATGCCAACAAGGTCTCTAAGCGCTTCACATTACTACCCCCGGTTTCTGGATTAAACGCCTATGGAACACAAACTCAAGCTCCCTAGGAGAGTATTCCATAAAGTTGCAGCAGCTACTTCAGCGCATTTTGGCATTTAACCCTACCAGGTACCCATTTATCACCCCATTATTCTACTGTCATCATATTCATATATGTAGGACTGGTGACTGTCCTTGTAAAATGCAATATGCGAGGGTTATATAATCCTAATCTGGCTTATGCCGTCCTTTATATTGTATATACAACCAGATTACAACAGTTTAATTACTATACTGGAACAGCTTCAAACGCCGGGAACCAGCGTAGACTTTTAAACCAATTTCTAAATACGCCATTTTGGAATTCATCCGAATTATGGCTGTAAACACACGCATTTACAGGGTTTTTTTTATTTAAAATAGTACGTATACAGGTATGTATATCATGTCTTTCTCTAAAATTTTAGACTTATATTAACTCTAATGCTTTAAAAAACATTAACGTTCAGTCAACCTAGGCCTATAGACCAAGGCCCCCGGCATATTGCCTAGTTTAGGCCTAGGCCTGGATGAACAACTTTCGGCTCGATCATGTGTGGGAAAAATCCGGGCCTCTAGGGAGGTACTATTAGGGGGACTCACTATGACACTCAAAGTAGGGAGCCTCTTGGCGATTCTAAATACCTAGGCCCTTCACCCCTAAGCGGGAGGCCCGGCTTTTTCCCACACATGATCTAGCCGAAAGTTTGTTCATCTAGGCCTAGGCCTAAACTAGGTTATGCCGAGGGCCTTGGTCTAGGCCTAGGTTGACTGAACTTTAATGTTTTTTTAAAGCATTAGAGTTAATATAAGTCTAAACTTTTAGAGAAAGACATGATATACATACCTGTATACGTACTATTTTGAATCCAAAAAACCCTGTAAATGCGTGTGTTTACAGTCATAATTCAGATGATTTCCAAAATGGCGTATTTAGAAATTGGTTTAAAAATCTACGCTGGTTCCCGGCGTTTAAGGCTGTTCCAGTATAGTAATTAAACTGTTGTAATCTGGTTGTATATACAATATACAGGACGGCATAAGCCAGATTAGGATTATTTAACCCTCGCATATTGCATTTTACAAGGACAGTCACCAGTCCTACATATATGAATATGATGACAGTAGAATAATGGGGTGCATTTATACTCCTGGGTGGAGAGAAGCAATGCAGACAAAGTGCCTTGCCCAATGACACAAGTGAAATGCACAGCGAGAGGATTGGAAACCCGACCTCGAGGTTGGGAAACCAAACCGTTCCCACTGCACCAAACCACTTCTACTATTCCTAAATCACCTAAAAGTTTCATTTTGATCTATTGATCCCATTTAGAGATACTTAGGTCTTGGACCTAATGACCTTCAAATTCACACCCATATCTTGATCGTCACGAACACCTAATAACCCCTTCCTTGTAACTTGTTAAAATGTGTATGAACGTTTCATTTAGATCAGTTGATTAGTTTTTGAAAATTCTGGTCTGAGACGTATTCTTTTGAATGGTCCTTAAATTCACACCCTCGTTCGATCGTTACCAACATTTAAACATTTCCTCATTAAAACATGATAAACTATTCTGGAAAGTGTAATTAGGTCCATTGATAATGTTATATATATATATAGGTCTGGTTCCTTAATTAAATGACCCTCGGATTCATACACGAATTTGAATCGTCACTAACACATAATGTCTTTCTTGTAACTTCGTAAAACGTTCACAAAGCTTTCATTCAGATCAGTTGATTATTATTCTTTTTTATTAACTGGTCTAGTACGTTTTCTATTAAAATATCCTCATATCAACACCCTAATGATAACAATAACAATAATTATAACTAGACTTACAATATGTCTGTTTGTAAAATATAACATATTTCTTTTCCTCATTGCCATAATAAGAAGTGATGTTGAAATTGCAACAAAAACGTTATTAAAATATAAGGTGAAAAACACACAAAAACAAAAACAATAATTAGGTCTACTATTAAAGAATAAAAAAACTATGACAACCACCTTCACGTCTAACGCGACGTTAGTGACACTTAAACTATAGTAGTACATGAAAAAATATTAGGGTTGAAAAAATTGCAACAGAATATCTGTTTTTATGAACATTCTAAAAGTCTAGTCCACATAGGGGAAGTGCGTCATTTTTCTTCAAAATGACCTCCAATGGCTAATTTTAACAAACAAATAAAAACAAAAATTATTTGTATTTTTCAGTGTATTTTAGCATATTATTTTTTTTCTCAAAATTACAAAATTCAAATTGTTGTGATGCATACAAGTACAATTATTTGATGTGGGTATCATTAATTTTAAGATGGCTGTCACAAATACAACGACATATGTAATGGTGTATGCATATATACGCCAGGTAGCAGTGCCATAATTGAACTGTGATGTGGACGTTCCGGACAAAAGCTCTAACTTGTTCACCTTACGATCATAGAATTTAATTTTTGGTAGAAACAAATTTATCGGAGGTCATTGGCCACGTTATAAACCTATGCTTATCCACATTATATCTCCTCTTCTAACTTGGAATTATAATTATAGTGTCTAAATTCATATATATGGTTAAGCAATAGTAGCATGCAGTTTTTAACCTAGTCAGATTGTTCAGATAAATTAATTTATGTAAAGTCATTACAGGTCATTTCAGGTCAAATATTGAATGGCTTTTTAATAATTACTTAATTGTCATGTTTTATATCAGAATCATACTAAAGTCGTCGAAATTATTTTTTAGTAGGAACTACAGTATGTTATTAAGGGTCATTTTGGCAGCCAACTTTAATTTCAAAATGGCTGCCGTGCAAGCTAATATCTTAGCTTTTAAAACCACTTCAAACTTAGAATTCTGTTTAAAACTTTATTTTTCATTCTATAGAAAAAAAGAAATGAAATCAGTCAATGGTCTAATATATTAAAACTACTTACTACTACATTTTTTATCGGATTAATAATTTATCCAACTAGAAGAGACAATGGGCCAAATAAATCAAAATTTAAATGTTAACATCATGGATGCTGAAGTATAGATTTATTATTTTGTATTGTTTCACTGATTTTAAACAATTCTTTACCATAGCTAAGCCTATATTCCGGGAAAAAAAGAGAAAGGGTGACGATATATAAAGTGAATAAATATTATTTAATTCAATTAAATATATTATTTTTTGCATGTCTGTGTAATGTATATTGTATAAAAGTTATTTAATTTTGATGTCATTAATGATTTTTTTATGTACTATAATTCAGTCTAGTAATTATTTCATGTGATATTTCTTTTCATGTATTTTTAATATTTTGTCCTTACATTTTGCAGTTTTGTATACATTATTTTTATATCTTTGTTAATACATTGCTTTTAACCTTTGGCTGCCTTTCCATATTTGTTTCTATACCTGAATGAACGAAAGAATGAATGACTAAAAACACGTTTTTGATGAATAGGTTAAATTTTCATGAATTAAAACACCAAGAAAAAATGGTTTCAGTTTTACGTTCTACAATGTTATTATTAAGAAAAAGATTATGGTTTACTAATTTTAAATCCAATTAAAACTGTCATTTCTATTTTTTCATAGATTATTGATCTTGCTGCTGGATTTTTGAACATTGGGTTTAGTAAAGGGGACTGTATAGCTGTCCTGGGTGGTAACCACATGGAATGGCCTTTGATTATTGGAGCAGCTCAATCCCTGGGAGTAATTGTAGTAAGTATTGAAACGCCTACATAAAAAAAAAAAAGATTCGATACACGTTATGTTACGAGGCAATTACCGTTAAAGTGAGAGGTGGATACCTACAGTTAGCTGCGGCTCTCCCATCCCCATTTAGCAAAATTAATATAGGCCTAAGTTTGAGTTAATCCCGATAAGGTATACTATTTGATTTGAAATTCCTTTTCAATGAAACCTAAATTACTATTTAATTGTAAACAGTTTCGCTGACTACCAGTCAGCATCATCAGTACGAATGTTGCTTATATATATTAATGGTAAACACCATTATAGATTTGTAACTGTTCATAACGTTGCTGACTTCATATTTCTATAATATAAAATCTCAAGGGCTAGACCTTAGGAAGCGGTCTTGAAGTCTGGACCAATATTTTATACCAATCAATTAAGTTTGTATGACAAATTGTCCTATATACCAAATATCGCGTTTTATCTTTTGCATTTATTATGGAAATTACAGTTTGGCCTGACTTCAAGCATAAATACACACTTCAATTATCAACGTCTGATATTTTTACATACACACAGCTACAAACACCAACATGGAAATAATTGAAATCAAGAATAATATTAATATGAATTATTTGAAATTGACTACCATGTAAATTAAAGAAAGCAATTAAGGCCCGTTGACAATAAACTAATACCTTAGAACAATTGTTTGTCTACCATTAATTTTAAAATATGCTATATTATTCGCACATAATGAAGTACTACTTGCGTGATTTGGTAATTATGAAGACAGAATAGCTTATAACATTTTTAAGTTCAGTTACAATACTGGGTAATTTTATGAACTGCTCTATAACCTTTTAAGTGAAAATGGTAAGAAAAATTCACTTTTATATCTTTGAAAGGTAATCAAAACAGGAAGAGAAAGGAAAAAGGAGGAAGAAAAATCTTGAACCTCCATTGGAAAATAATAGAGAACACGTCTACTTCTACAGTTTCAAAGAACCATTTCTGGCATCTATGTTCTTTTTTTTTTCAATTTCTGAAACAGGTTTGCCGGCCTCCAAAAATGTTTCACTGCCCACATTTAGGCCGTGACCCACAGTATTTTTTTTTCTCTTTTGTAGGGGTCATCCCACCTTTATTCATCACAAAGACAAACATTGTTATGAGCAACATTTTGGTTACACAATCATCCATAATGCAATATGGCAATGTGAAAATACTGGAGAAAATGTTGGCATACGTTTATAAAATGAGTTGTTCAGTTAAAATTTATTCAACATTTTTTTCGAATAATGTCTTTCTATCATAAAAAATGGAAAACTGAGGTGTAACTCCATTTGTTTAGATGTTTTGGGACGTTTGCTTTGTAAATGCAAAAAAAAAATGCATTTTTGTAACCTTTGTAAATATTGATTAAATGCATTTTTATAAGCAGAGCTGCAGTTAATATACATTTATTAGCTTATATGCAATTAAGTACGCTATACAATATGATACAATTATGATACGAGCATCACACATCTGAAATTATATGTCGCTGTGGACAGACAAAAGTGCGCTTTTTTGGCAGCTAATTGGACGCGGTGAGACACTTGGGGAGAGGGAAATTGTTAAAAGAGTGAGTTTATGCCCGTGCACATTTCAGTATAGTTAACGCTGCAATTCACATGTTATTTATCCTACCGTTACCTTTTACCATATATTTATTTACAGGTTTGCTTGCAGATTGGCAACACACTTAAAACGCTGAAGGAAATACTGTTAAAGGTGAATGTATTTGAATATTATTGCCTAAAACTGTATTAACATAGGATCCGAACCGAAATTCGGCCCGTGTTTCCGATGGGCTGAACACAAACGTCCTTATTCTTAAACACTTATTCGGTTTTCTAAACAGTTCGGTAAGTTTTTCAATCAGTGTTAATGGATTGTTATGCAACGTATATCATCCAGATAAAACCCTCCTGCAAGTGGTTGTGTGTTTAAATACGTCAAAAATGTGTCCACTAATATTCCTATATTATCATCATAATCATCTTAATTGTTTTTATTATTATTATTATTATCATCGTCATCATCATCGTCGTCATCATCATCATCATCATCATCAACATCATCATCACCATTATTATCATCATCATCATCATCATCATCAATATTTAAATGGTATTATTATTTATTATCATTATTATTCATTATTTGTTATTATTGGCTTTAGCAGGATAAGCGATTGCTTTTGTTCTGCCTTTTTTCCTATTTTTTTTTTGTACAGAATTTTCACGACCTGCACTTTCGTCACTTTCCATACTTGGTTCTTTTCAAAATTCTGTCCTAACATAGCCCATTATACCAAAGATGTGCAGCATAAAAGTTAGTGAAAATCCTGAGTGGGGTGTGGATGTGAGGACAACTTATATGGAATTAAAAGCAAACCCCCCTCACCAGATATTAAAAAAAAAATCAAATGATCAAAACAAAACTTTGTGCAAAGTTTATTAATCGAGTTACAAGGAAGAAGTTATTATGTTTTTGACAACAGTTTAAAAAAGTGATTATCATTGGATCTAAACGATAATGCCCCATAATAGTTTGCCATGGTCCAATGAAGATATGATTATATTTTGGTGACTATCCGGAGTAGGGTGTTAATATGAGGACCATTCAAAGGGATACGTCCAAGACCAGATATACAAAAACTAATAAACTGACCTGAATAAAACTTTCTGATTTTTTAAACCAATTTACAAGAACAACAAATTATTACATTTTGGTGACGGTCCATATTCGTGTATAAATTTAGGGTCATTTAATGTGCTAACGTCCCAGACCTAAATATTAAAAAAAAATATTATGGTTAGCAATGAAACTTTTAAAACTAGTTTTTCATAATCCATTGAAGAAATTATTAAATCAATTGACGATCCAGAGTAGAGTGTGGATATGAGGGCCATTCAAAGGGAAATGACCTATACCAGATATACCAAAAACGGTCAACTGATCTGAATGAAAATTTAACCAAGTTATTAGAAAGAAATTATTAATTCTGGCGACGATATTTGGGTGTAAATTTGAGGGTCATTTAAAGTGCTAACTTCCCAGACCTAAATAACTAAACAACTTTTCAATTAATCTAAATGCAACTTTTAAGAATAGTTTGTCATAGGCTAATGAAGAAACGGTTATTATTTTTAACGATCGCTTTTTTTTTTTTTTTTTTTTTTAAGTAGGGTGTAAGTGTGAGGACCTATCAAAAGATCTCAGGCCAAATATATACTAAAACAAAATCTTACCATCTTTTTTTTAATTCTCAACATCACTTTTCAAATGGGAAAATAGAAAAAGCCTTATTTTTGTTATTATTATTATTATTATTATTATTATTATTATTATTATTATTATTATTATTGTTATTGTTATTATTATTA